AAACCCAACAAACCAAACAGCCCAATAGCACAATAGCCCAACAAACACAATAGCCCAACAAACACAATAGCCCAACAAACACAATAGCCCAACAAACCCAATAGCCCAACAAACCCAATAGCCCAACAAACCCAATAGCCCAACAAACCCAATAGCCCAACAAGCCCAACAGCCTATTGGGTTTGTTGGGCTATTGGGCTATTGTGTTTGATGTGCTATTGGGCTGTTGGGTTTGTTGGGCTATTGGGTTTGTTGGGCTGTTGGGCTATTGGGCTATTGGTCTATTGGGCTGTTGGGTTTGTTGGGCTATTGGGTTTGTTGGGCTATTGGGCTGTTGGGTTTGTTGTGCTATTGGGTTTGTTGTGCTATTGGGTTTGTTGGGCTATTGGGCTATTGGGCTGTTGGGCTATTGGGCTAACAAAGCGAAAGTACCTTTTCCTTCATAGGCACAAATCTGTGATCAGAATTAAGCTCATATACCTTATATTGATGTTTGCCTTGTTGGGTCGTTGGGTCCAACGACAAACCCAACGCAAAACGTAGATCCCTAAATCGTGACCCATATGTATACCGGGGTAATTAAATCAAATTACCTATATAAACGTGTATGAGTTTGCATTAGACCTTATTTTTACTTTCGTTATGCCTTTCTCAGATGAAATGGTACAACAGCAAAAAAAAGAAAAAAACACACCTTGCACACCAAGCTCCCCCGAAGTCTGAGGAACCCAACCTAGCCATCCACGGCGGGTAATTGCCACTTATCGACGAGGAAGCGGTCATGGCAGTTTTAGGTATTTTCCAGTCGGATACTCCAACCATGTCTTCGCAATCTGCAACAATGTTGGGGTGTACTTTAGCTTCGTTAAGCAACGGTGAGTGAACGGTTATGCTTCTCTGTTCATGACCCAAGAAAAGGTAGAGAAAAAAACTCTACCGCTTTTGCGTCTATAACTATACTATTGAACATGGATGATTTTAAATTTTTCACATTACATAGACTTTTACTTTGTTCAGTTCCAAACTCAGGTTTTTGCGCATTTAGTATTATTTAAAAAGAACATTAATTGAGTGTTTAATAAATTCTATATTCCTTTATGCCAGGAAAGTCTAAAAATCTTATATATACAAATACCTTCTTTTCCGTAAAGCTCGAGCGTCAAGCATGGAACTGGGCCATGAAACGTGTTTGGAATTACTTTTACATAACGGGCTCTGAATGGAAATCGAAGCGTTTTCTTTTCACCTTCTAAAGCATTGTTGGCCATCAGGAAACCCTTAAAATAGATCATACTATACAGATAAACCAATTTGACTTCGAAGCATTTCAATTCCCATATACTTATTTTAATAAACTTAGTCACTAGAAACTTTCACTCAAAGCTGACACCATTGGGGATAATGGGAAACATTTCATGTCAAACAAGTAAAGCTTGAGTAAGCTCTCAGGAAGTGAAACTATAACTGGTAAAAGATCTATCCTACCTTCAAAAACGGTCATTTTTGGCCTATTTTTGCCAAAAGGCATGGACTATTGCCCATATTTTTGATGAATTTTGGTACGTCTTTTTTGACTTCCCTCAAAAATTCTTATTTTGCAAAAAGGTTTATTTCTGGTCTATTTTGGCCCAAAAGCATTGACATTAGCCCATGGTTTTCATTCATTTTTGGTATTTTTTCACTTCACTCCAAAACTTTTTCAATTTTCTATTATCGCCAAAAAGCATGGACTATAGCCCATGGTTTTGATGGATTTTGGGTGTTTTTGACTTACCTGAAAAATTATCTTATTTCCGTTTTTGTCGTATTTTGGCCAAAAAAAAGCATGGACTATAGCCCATGGTTTTGATGGATTTTGGGTGTTTTTGACTTACCTGAAAAATTATCTTATTTCCGTTTTTGGCGTATTTTGGCCAAAAAAAGCATGGACTATAGCCCATGGTTTTGATGGATTTTGGGCGTTTTTTCAGTTCCCTCAAAAGTTACACCAATTTGGAAAAGGGTCATTTTTGGCTTATTTTGGCCAAAATGCATGGAATATACCCCATTGTCTTGATAGGCCATAGCCCATGGTTTTAATCGATTTTCTTTGTTTTAAACGTCTTTTGATTTCCCTCTAAAATTAATCCATTTTAAATATTGTTTATTTCCCCAGATAATTTTAGCCAAACACCACTAAAGCTGATGGAATACAACCTTCTCTACTGCAACACATAACATAGCGCGTAACATGATAAGCATGTTACAAAACACGTAACTCATCCCTGGTACATAGCACGTAACATGACAACCATCCTACATAACACGACAAAAAACACCCAAAATGGATAAAAACCATGGGCTATAATCCATGCTTTTTGACCAAAATAGGCCAAACATGACCCTTTTCATAATTGAATTATTTTTTCAGATAATTGAAAAAATACCCAAAATGAAAGAAAACCATGGGCTATGACCTAAACATCACCCTTTTCCATATTAGGATAATTTTTGATTAAGTCTAAAACCACCCAAAATGGATAAAAACCATGGTGCATGCTTTTTGCTCAAAATAGTCCAAACATGACCACTTTACAAATTGAATTAATTTTTTAGGTAATTGAAAACTACTAAAATTTGCACAAAATCCATCAAAACCATGGACTATAGTCATGCTTTTTGTCAGAAATAGAACCTTTTTTCAATTTCATTTAAATTTTGCGCAAAGTCAAAAAACAACCAAAATCGGTCAAAACCAGGGACTATAGTCCATGCTTTTTGCCCAAAATGGGCCAAAAAAGACCTTTTTCCAAAATCAGATAATTTTTTATGGAAGTCAAAAAACACCCAAAATCCATCAAAACCATGGGCTATAGTCCATACTTTTTGGTTAAAATAGGCCGAAAATAAACCTTTTTCCAAAATCATATAATTTTTAAGGCAAGTCAAAAAACACCCAAAATCCATCAAGACCATGGGCTATAGTCCATGCTTTTTGGTCAAAATAAGCCAAAAATCAATGTAGGGGTTAAACACACACGTCTCAACTTCATATGCGCAGATTCGATTTATTCATCAAATGGTTTCACATGTAAACTATCCGATACACACACAGTAAAATCCTAAAACAAAGAGTATTACATTACGATGGTACAATACTGCAAGCAAGCAATGGCAAAGAACTTACCAATTGATGAACACACTGCACGAGAACATAACACATGAAGCTG